ATAGCAGCAGATTTATCTGCAGAAACCCTGCAGGCTAGGAGAGCTTGGAGCCCTATCTTCAAAGTCCTAAAGGATAAACAATTTCAACCAAGAATAATCTACCCAGCCAAGCTAAGCTTCATCAGTGAGGGAGAATTAAAATCTTTCCCAGATATCCAATCCCTAAGAACTATTGCAGCCACAAAACCATCTCTACATGAAACACTTAAGAAAGTACTAAACACAGAAGAAAAGGAAAAAAGAACAACGTTCTTCACAAGAGTACAGGGAAAAGAATAAAATATACACGAACCAACCCCAAAAGCAAAAGAAAGACAAAAAAAAAAAGAAAAAGAAAAAAGAAAAAACCAAGTAGAAGAACAATAACTCAATAAGAACTCCATGATAGGGACGAACTCTCACATTTCAATAATTAGTCTGAATGTGAATGGACTAAACGCACCACTGAAAAGACATAGAATGACAAAATGGATAAAATATCACCAGGCAACAATATACTGCCTTCAAGAGACCCATCTCACTAGAAAGGACATACACAGACTCAAGTAAGAGGATGGGAAACAAACTTTCAGGCGAATGGAATACAAAAGAAAGGAGGAGTAGCGATCTTAATTTCAGACAAAATACCCATCAAACTATTAAAAATCAAAAAAGATACAGAAGGCCACTACATAATGATAAAAAGCTCAATCCATCAACAAGAAATATCTATCCTAAACATATATGCACCCAACATAGGTGCGCCAACTTTCAAAAAGCAACTTCTTGGAAAACTAAAGAAAGATATTGACTCTAACACTATCATAACTGGGGACTTTAATACCCCACTCAGAACCCTAGACAGATCATCAGGACAAAAAATCAGCAAGGAGATCCGGAACCTCAATGTGATTTTGGACCAAATGAACTTAATTGATACCTACAGAACACTCCATCCAAAGACCACAGAATACACATTCTACTCATCACCACATGGAACATATTCTAAGATTGACCACATACTCGGCCATAAATCAAGCATAAGCAAATTTAAAAGGCCCAAAATTCTACCAAACACCTTCTTGGACCACAGTGGAATAAAAATAAACATTGACACCCACAAAGTCCCCCCAAAACCCACAAAGACATGGACACTAAACAGCATGATGCTAAATAACTCCGGGGTCAATGACAAAATCAAAACAGGGATCAAAAGACACCTGGAAACAAATGAAAATGAAGAAACATCTTACCAAAATCTCTGGGATGCCCTGAAAGCTGTAGTAAGAGGGGAATTTATATCCCTACAAACACACA